GAAATTCAACGTTGGACGACTGCACGTGATATTTTCCTTCCTCTATTTCACTTTTTGGTTTTTTTTTGGGTTCTTAAGTGCATGTGATCCTTAACCAGTTAACCATTATATTTTGCTAAACGCATGTGTCTAAAAAGAGGAATAAAAGGCAAACCAGGCCTATCACCCAATTGGTTGGTCTCCAAGCTTTAGGGCTTGGGTGAGGCGGAGGTCAAGGCTTCGAGCTCTGCCACCGCCGTGAACTCCACCAACTTGCGACCTAATGGTCGCACGCCTTAAATGAGGGGTGGCTGGAAAAATTCCAGCTGCTAACAAACTAACTCTACTAACTTCCTAACCATCTATCTGGTCAAAAAAAAAAAAAAGAGGAATAAGAGAGAATTGTTTTTAATTTTGTAATTCAAAATAATGATAATAATAATAAGAAAGAACAATTTTTTAAAAAATGAATTGAATTTAAGAACACCCTACATGGGTTGTAATTTTTTTGTCTCTGAAAAATTCTCTTATTTCCAGCACAAAATAGACCACCAGAAGGCCACCAGTCCAATGAGCCCAAGTGCAATACAAACCATGTCCAAAGCCCTTTCCTCCCTCTGTTTCCTCTCCTTCCTTCTTCTCTTCCTCTCTTCAAACTCCTCGTATTTCTTCTTCCCTTCATTTCCCTTCATTTTCCTCCTCCTCCCTCCCCCCATCGCCCCTTCCAAAATTGCCAGACTCTCCGCCCCATTCAACCCCTTCCCTTCCATGTCCACCATCTGCATGCTCACCTCCCTCACGTGCATCCCACCTCCTCCCAGCTGCTCACTCCCACACGTGACCACCACCGTGCATTCCACCAACTCCCTTGACGACCACTCTCTCCCCGCCAATATCACCGAATACCTCGCCAGCACCTCCCCCGTTAACCAGTGACGCTCCACCGAAACCGGCCTCCTGCTCGACATATTTCCCGCCCTTTTCCTGGTCGGATCGATCATTATCCAGCTCAAACTCATGTTCTCCTCCAGATGTTTGAGCCACATCTCCTCCTGACCGGAGCACTGTATCGGTGTCGGAACTGACTCTTTCGGATCAAGAAGATCAATTCGGAAAGGCGAACACTTAAACCACTCGGTCACCGTTTCCATTTCTTGGACTTTGGAGAAAATAAGCTTGTTCTGGTAACAAATATCCACCGCCGAGATAAGTTCAGTCGTTAGGTTCGCCGAGAAATTGGGCTTTTGCTTTTTTGGCGGACGGTAATCCAAGAGCGGAAACGAATCGGAGAAGAGAGATCGGTGACCAGAACCGAACGTTGAGATGACGTCGTGTACACGTGGGTGGTTGACAGAAGGCCACGTAGCAGCACATATGCTTCTCCACAGGTTTTCTTCCGTGGAAAGTCCGTGTAACTGGGAAGACACGCAGGCAATGGCGGCGAGGGTTGGACCGTCGAGTCGGGTGAGAATATGTGTTTGGATGATATCGTGATGAACGGTGGACAACGTTGTAACGGCGGGGCCACCGCTTCCTTGATCGAGAAGCAGCGGCGGCGTTAGTAGTGATGATGATGATGATGATGGTGTGGACAAGGAAGGTGAAGAAGAGGCCATGATAGATGGTACTGCTTTTGCTTTGTTCCCAGAAAATGGATCAAAACTTTGTGGGTTGTGGAATTTGTGAGAAGAAGAGTTGAAGTGGGAGGTTGTTATATAGGACGTGGAAAAGTCAAGGGTAGCGGGTTGAGTAGGACACTTTTTTGGACCTTCTTGGGGGCCATGATGATGGATGTATATCGGAAGCATCTTAAAGTAAATGTATATAACATTTTTTTTTTCTTTTATGAAAGTACAATTTTTTTTAATATTTAAGTTTGTTTTTTTGTTTAACATAGAAGAATTATGGGGAACATGGAATTTTTTAAAATTGAGAGTAAAACTCTAGATCAATTAAATGAGAATAAAATCATGTGCATAAAAAAAAAAGAATAAAATCATTGAATTTAAAGATTTGATTCAAATATTTAAATGTTGTTAGAAAATGATTAACTCTAAATTTTTATAAAGACTTAGAAAATATTATTATTTTATTGTTTAAGTAGTGTTTTTGAGATAATTTTTTTATCTCACTTTTTTATATAACTTTTATATGTCATTAAATGAGTTTATGCATTTAATATCATGAGAGTACTACATGAATTAAAAAAATTAATTATTTTAATAACACGTCAAATTGTATAAAAATGTGAGATAAAAATATTATACAAATATCATTTCCCTTATTATTTTATAGTTAAACTAATAAGCAA